CCACTGTTTCGATAAATTGCCAATCAATTTCCGCAAGTGCATTGTTCAATGCAACATAACCGGCCCGGCGGAAGTCCAAAGAGTAGCACTCAGATGACGGCGTAAAAAGAATCGGCGTAGGTAAACTAAATGACACGACGAAAGCGGGCAGATCGGCATCTAGATCAATCAGTGGATCGACCGGCAAGGAAACAGAAGTGCCCGATAGTGCGGAATCATTTGCCAGGACAAGATCTAGCAAACGTCCATTTCGGTTCGGAAAAGTATTCACTTGTGTGAACCCGTAAAAGTTAAAACCGTCCAAAAGAACACAGCAAGCAACCGGCATATGCGAAAGTAGTGGATCAGTTAATGTTGTGCCACTGTATGTAAAGCGCCACTGCAGACCAGCTTGATTGTAGTCACCAAATACGAAAGCGGGAGAGCAGGGACTTAATTGTGACGAAATCGAGCCTAAAGATTCCACATGCTCACGGATGATCGTGCTGTCGTTTTTGCGGTCGGAAGGCAGGTAGATTGCGCCTACACTAAGCTTGCTTTGTGGTAGTTCTACGAAAATCCACAGCTGTTCCAGTTGACTGAAAATGGGTGACGTACTTACGTAGCTGGCTAGTACTGCAATCAGGACTCCGCCACAGCGCGATTTTTGACTGTTTAGGGCAGACCGGTCAGTTCTGAAGACGGAATAGGGTGACTCGAAAAGTTGCCATGAGTAAATTCGGTTGTCCAGCCACGTTTCCGTCAGCACAATCAAATCATATTCAGCCTCCGCAACAGCCAGGAAAAACGAGTCGATTTTAGACCTCAGCCCACGCACGTTTTGGTAGTAGATCCGGAGACCATTCGAGGAGCAATCACGGGAACTAGAAATCGAAATGACATCAGGTACCGAAAGCTCGGAATCGCTAACATACTCGCCTGAGGTTGCAGGCCGGAAGCCCCCGATACCATCACCGACCACAGGACCGGGACGATGACGATGGCCGATGTCTGCAGCAAGCGCGACTGGGTCGGGAGGTTCGGAAGCTTCCTCAGTGCCTGTTTTAGGGTGTCCCGGATCCGAGAAAGAGCAGGTGGTGGCATAAACCTGCTGGCAGTTGGCAAGACGGATGCATGGACATGATGTGGCTAGTGTGGAGGTCGCAGAACCGGAAACACAGAAGTTGAAGCGGTATCAGGCAAAGGAGAGGCTGAATCGTCAATATACTTGCCAGTAATAGCTGGTTGGAAGACCTCCGACCTACATCTACACTCAGGACCGAGACGACTATGCAGAGCGCTGGCTGCAATAAGCACGACTGAGGTAGAGAAATCAGGGGCTTCCACAGTGCTATCCACGATGCGTCTCGGTGGTGATGGTGGTGGTCCAGAAACAGTATAGGTAGCAGCATTATTCTTGGAAATCGTGGAAACATCTACGGTGTGTTCCGGATGAGCAGATGGACCATTCGGGGATAACGAAGACGCATCGTTTAGCCTCGAAGGATTCTGGCCATTGCCTCCAACCCACTACGGACAGCTACAAGGACTCCTCCACCAGTAGATTTACTGGAAATCACAGATCCATCAGGCAATAACTGACCATCATCGAGTCTGATTGAATACTCGCCATAGTGGGTGGGTTGGAAGGCCCCCTCTCCACATCCGACAGCAGGTCCGGAACGACTATGGTGAAGGGAGGCAGCTGATGGCAGGACTGAGGCGGAGGGATTGGGGGCTTCCAAGAGGTTTTCTACGATGCACGTCGTTGAAGTACAGTATAAAAATTAACGGTCCCATGTGGCTTCCCTGATGTGGCGAAGAAGCTAGCTGATCTGCAATCTCCTATGGCTACCTTTAGTTGCCGATCGGTAAGATATGATCGAAACCAATTCAGAAGATTACCGCATACACCGAGCCTGCCGAGTTTAGCAATCGCAATAGCATGTTTCAACTTGTCGAATGCTGCGGATAGGTCTGAATAAATAACGTCCGTTTGAACCCGATCAGACATGCTTTCGGTTTTATACGATGTGAGACACAACAGATTAGTGGTTGTGATCGTCATTAGCAGCGATATTGCTCTTGGTCCGTTTTGCTGAACGTTCTAGTTACACACATTCAACTGCTTGCGCAATTCGCTACCCAATCAGAATGTTGCGTATGTGTAAATAAACCGTTCACTGAACGGTTTATTTCAGTGATGCAAAATATCATGACACTCACGTGACACTCGTCTACACATCAACCGACTATCGCTGACAGAACGTTTTGTCACGCAGTGAGAGGTAGAGCCATGGCAAATAACAATCACCAGTAATGGTCGCTGCTCACAAGCAAAACGTTACACTCGCTGCTGATGATGAAAAGCACAACGAAAACAGTGTAAACTCTGCAGTACGATGATGAGAAAAAGCGAAACGACAGAAGGAAATGAAAACAATGCCAACGCATTCCAAGTTCGTCTCGGCAGGCGCGACTGTGTGAGTTACAAACAAAGCAGGCAACATTAAACGGAAGCTGTTGGGTTCACTCGCCAACACACTCACATAAGCAAACAAAGCAGCAACTGCTTCAAAACGAGCACAGATGAGTGTCGTGATTGTCGGGAATGACCAGATCGGTGATGGATCACAACCGAAGACGACATTCACCAGTTGCTTTTTACTTCTTTCGTCAACTTTATAGATGGTCATGGAGTGAGCTTCGACGAGCACATTGATAGGAATGTAAAAAGCGTTACTACCATCAGCTGTTTGATGATCGTGATTGTGATAGGTTGCAACTCTGCCGATCACCTCTATCGCATCTCTCATGTCCTTACCCTTCTCTTACCCGCAGCTTTCCACTTACTGGGTTTTCCCAAAAAGTCAGCTAGTGAGAACACCTTTATATTTTATTTCATCTTGGCTTAATTTTTTTGTAAATGCAAACCATTTAACGAGCCGAGTCAGTTGTGCGAGCAGAAGGCTAACAGATTGCTTGGATGCAGTTTTCAACAAATTATTTTTTTTTTATAAATTTTCGGCCTTTTGTGCTTTGGCCTTTTGTGTTTCGGCATGCTGTACGGGTCCCGAATTTATAGCATTTCAGATCTTTGTACAAGTTGAACGAATTAAATAGAAACTCGTAAAACTTCGCAAAACTTCTTTGAAGAGCAAGGAATTCAAGCTTAACATTGCATTATGTCTTAAGTAACATTGATCGATCCTCTTCGTCGTCTTTCCTGATAACCTGAGCACATAACCGTTTCTGATTGCGTTTGTTGTATTAGATGCTAGATAAAAGCTTCTTTTGTCGTGCTGAAAATACCTGGGAATGTCTTTACATGGCCGTGGGGATACAAAGAGAAAGTCGACGAAGATAATCTTTCAATGTCACTTAAGACCTATTGCAATGTTCAGCTTGGATTATGTAGTATTTCAGGGACCTTCATAGAAGCTCGACTAGATTTTCAAGAATTTCATGGAATTCAGGGAGTTTTGTAGATGGAAATATTGTAAAACTTCAACATGATGTTCTGAGATCTTGGTCAAATTTCCGGAAACAGTGAATGAGACATAAGAAATGTTTACAAATTCAGCAATCTTGGTAAACATTTAGTTGTAGTTTGTGTAAGTTATAAACAATTCGTATAAGTACAGAAAACTTCGAAGAAGTGGACGAAACTTTCCCCAAATTTATGGCTCAGGGATAAGTTAAATGGATTGAGAAGAAGTTCAGGGTGCTTTATTTGAGTTCATGGAATCTTTGTAGAAGTAAATACATGAACCTTTTTTATAAGAACTTTATAGAACTTAGTTGATATCCATGGATTTTCAATATAATTTCAAAAAAGTTCTCTGGCTGTTTTTTAAAGTCTTGAAAAATTAAATGGTTTATTCAGGCCAGTGCTGCAAAATCTCGACAGTACACGGTGATATTGACAATTCTGCTTTGGTCACTCATTTGAGCTAACAGTCATAGTCAAGGCAAACCATGTCGATTGTCAATGACAATGGTGTCAGTGACGAACATGTGCAGATTTGTTTATTAGCTAAATTTGTAACGAAAATAAATAACTTGAGCAAAACAATGACATGGATCAATTTTAATGAACAAGTATCTACGTCCTGTGCTACTTGGATAACAATAATGTGACACAGAATGTACTAAATTACACTTTTTGTTACCAGGTGAATCTTTGTCTTTGACGAAAAAATGAATGAGAATTTGACGAAGGTTTTTTTGAGGATCAAGTCTGTGACTATGTGACGAACAATTTTATCAATATCGCGCGAAAGTCTGTCAATGACAATGACAAATCTCAGCACTGATTCAGGCCCTTACTACGGGTGTCACTGAATACGAAGTGTCACTCATGATGAAGTGATTCCCATTTGATTTGCCCGGGAATCACTTCACCGTTAATGACAACTTGTCACTTCACGTCGTTTTAACCGTGAAGTGACACCCGTAATAAGGGCCTCATTATTATTCTGAAGATCAAAAACATTTCTTCACAGAATTTCAAATGTTTTTAAAATTAAGACAATAGGGAAATTGCTCTAATGTTGGCCTATGGATCTAAGATTGGGCCCATCGCTAAAAATCTGCTATTTATCAATTTTATCCAGATGAATTGGGACGGTACTAATGGATATTTTTGGTCGCTGTTGAAAATTTAGTCGATTGCTGAATCTATGTAAGGGCCCAAGCTAGGGGCATTTAGGCCGACATTGAAAACAAATGAAGAGATTCAATATTTAAATGAGACATTTGTGTGTAGCAACAAAACGATTGAAAGATGAAAGCCAACTATAAGTCGTGAATAGGCAATTAATTAAGAAATTCGGAGTGCGACTAGGAAGACGGATTATCGGAATTTCTCCATACAATACAAAAATATATTGCTCCGGTATTTATTGCTTAAATTCTCTGAAGTTTGCCAGCTCTAGGTCTGGGACCCAATTAAACCACACCCACGGTCTTTAAACCTAAATCGACTGCGTCCAATTAATTGTAGCCTATTATCATTATAGGTATAATTGTGCCAGATATGACCTCCATGGATGTTTCGGTTATCAAATTTTCATCAGTACCACCAGAAAGTACTCACAGCTCTCGCCGTACTATTATTCAGCCTGTCAATATTGCAGAAGATCCGGTCAAATGCGAGTTAAAGATCGAGCAATCGCAATCGATACTGAATGCAGAATCCCCAACGTACACCATCAAGCAAGAGCAGGCAGACAAATCGGGCTTTTCGTTTGTCGTTCCGCAGTTGCCGGACGACTGCGTACTGCGATGTGCAGCGCAAGTCCCTGTTTACAGATCAAATCAAACGTTAAAAATGCCACCTCAATTATCGCAACCGGAATGCCTTGCTGACTCCATTACTGAGTCCAGTTTCTATAGCAGAAAAATCAGTCCGATGGCTGACCTGAGTGAAATTACCGAGATGGTCGACTTGACCTATGGATCTGGTAGGAGGCCAGTGGTACCAACGGGTGATGTCAGTATAGTTCTAAAAGAGGTGGTGGAGCCTCCGATGTTTCAACCTGCGGTGCCGGTTTCCGTGATACAGGAAACTCCTAAAAAGGCCAGCATGATACCGGTGCGCAAGAGCCGGGGATCCATTTTTGACAGGCTATCAATGGATCTAGACGAATCTGGAATCGTGCCAATTGTTCCACAGGAGCAAGCAGCAGGCTGCGAATCTGCAGGGGATCGTGATCTAAAAATGGCCGATGTCGTGAAGGTGAGAAACTATTTTGATTTGTTTTCCGAATTCCGTTAATCTTTTTTGTATTTCACAGAATGACCATCCTTGTCCACTAGAACCAGCTGAAGTAAAAGTCCTAGTCAAAAATGAACATGTCATTGAATCCAGTGACGACGAATTTTTCGATGCTGTTCCTGGTAGCGCATCGTTTGATGAACCAGATGAAGACATTGTTTGTGTAACTCATGAAGCTATGACACGTAGTGACGCTAAGGGACGTGGTGGATTAAAGTTCACTGAAATCAATGATCTTGAGCAATCCCTCATGCTACACAATCAGACAACCGTAGGATGCAAATCGCTCAAATTCATCGATGTGAATGATTTAGAACAGATGACATTGTTAAATCAAAAACGTCAATTGTCGCGAATATCGAAATCTGTACTATTGGAGCAAGATCCGTTAAACGTATCCCTTACTGATGACTATCCGATGAAAAAAAGGAAAACTAAAATTCCGACTCCTGTAAGTCATACCAAAATCCAACAACCCGAACGAACAACGCGACGAGTTACGTTTCACCAGGATTTAGTGAATTCTGGGGGAGACGAAACCAATAAGGGTCCTGAAGTCGAAACGGTTATTATTAAAGATGAATTTGCATCGATCATTGATGATGAACCTGATGAGGGCAGCAAATTTGGACAGACCCTTCTAACTGATCCATCGGTTTTTATCATTGAAGAAAGCGATTTGTTGGCCAATGAATCAAATATTTCGCTTGTGAAATCCCCTAGTTCCGAGAAAATCATCCCAGGAAGTACTTTTAAATTAGATAATACATACTTCCACGATTATGTCAATCTGACACTACACATAGATCAGGTTGAAAACACTTCGTGTATAGTCATCAGCGACGACTCAGTGACCGTTCCAACTGGTAGTAAAACACAGGATTTGAAATCTGAACCACTAGAGGAGCGATTAACTTTGGAGGATCTTCCGGGCAGGATTAGTAAAACGCGGGAATCTGTTGTTTTCAACTCTACTGTAGCAAGCGAAGTTATGTATGAACTGAAGCAACAAGTGTCTCAAGCTGGAAAAGGATGCTGTAGCTTTGAAGGTAACTGCAATTGTCGAAATAGACGAACTATGGCAGCTGTTAAACGGGACAACGTGGAAACAGTGCGAGAAATGTGGAATCAAAACTTTGACCGAATTTTGGAGTCCGTTTCCGAAGTTCCTAAGCAGGATGTTCCACTGGATACTCGGATTTGCGAAGTCCTTAGCAGGCCCATGAAGCCACTTCCGCTTCCCTGCCTAGAAAAACAAAAACCACACCTTCCAGAGACCCCACCAATATGGTTTCTATGTGAAAATTATATGCGGTAAGTGCTGTTGTCTTGTTGAACGTATTTTTATAATTAGTTTGCTGGTAAAAGCAGAACTTTTATCAACATTAAAGTTGTATGCACCTACTCGGCAATTCCGAAATCGAAATTTATTTTTCATAAACCATCGTCACACAAAAATTGGTCCATTAAATCGCATGATGGCCTCTTACAATTAATAGAGTAGATTTGTTGCACAGCTAAGAACGGTGTTTGTTTGTTTTGTGTTGGTACGAGATTGAAAACGTTTTTGAAGTAGGTATTTCTCAAAAAACCTTGAGGGTGATTCATGAAGCATTTTCATTATATTGGTGAAAATATTCCGTATAATAAAACTTTTGATGTGGCTCAGAACCCAATTATTGCTGAAATTCTATTATTGCACACCCATAAAATATGGCTAAATGCATTTTGGAATGAAATTTTTCAGCAAGAATTGTTATTCAGTGATTCTGTTAGATGATTAAACAGAACTTTTCGGTATATTGTACTTACAATATCAGTTATTTTATTTATTTTATTGAACCGGTTAATAATCGAAGCAAAATATACGCAGCAGCTGTTTATTTGCACAGCCAGGATTTTCTGAGACAGAAAGGGAAGGAAAGTAGGGTACAGTAAAGAGACTGAATTGGGGTTTTCGTTTGCAAAAGTGCTCGGCTGCTGGTCTCTCGCCGGTGTCGAAGATTGCGAGCAATATGAAAGATGCCTCGCTGGATACGCCCAAGACTGAATGGGTAGTAGCTGGTGGCCGCGAAAGGTTCCTGGGGAAAGCACTAGACGCGAACCTTCTCCCAGATGACCATGGCAATGCAAGACAATTTGTGTTCGTTGAAGGAAGTATTACTTCGTATGTGGTGTAATTAAGGAAGAACTCTCTCTACAATGTCGCATTTATGGTCATTGTAGATAGCTTTAGTTCGGAAGTTAGAAGGTGATAGCTCTATTGCAGATCCAGCAACACATTTAAGAATGTCTGGAGAGTCACGCCCATTTCGAGGTTACTGTCACTTACAATAAGCCCTGCATGTATGTATTGCCTCTATCAATTGGATATTAGTATTACACACCCACACTTCCAGTTTCAAAATGCTCTTTTGAAGCCTGGCACGTAAACTAAATTGTTTTTTTATTGTAAAAGTATTTGGACTGGACTCACCATGTTAATTTGATCCTCCAATCCATGGGTTCCGTAGTTTTGTTTTTCTCTACACTCAAAGATAAATTAAATCAAAAAAGCTTAAAAAGTATGCAGATTCCCGCTTCACCTTATTGAGTCCGAGCCATGATTACTTCGGCAGTAGTCATGCATGATTAAAATCGAAATAATCTTTCCAGTATTAAATTTTATTCTTTTTCAATACTGATATATAATCAAAAAAGATTAAAGTTCAATCCAAAATTATTATAATAGAATCAAAAATGATTAAAATTTATTCAAAAAAAGATAATCTACAATCTAATCAACCATGATTAAACTGGGATTAATATCAGATGCTTATTTTTTAGAAAGACAGGATTAATTTTTAATCAATCGATATGATTAAACTGAGTTTGATGTCAAATTGATTAAATTTCAAGCAAAATGAGAATAATTCAATTTATCAGTGTACGCTTTGCATCTCATTTCGTAATTCACCTTTGCCGTACACTCAATAAATTTATCACATATCTAATGGATGAAATCCATGTGATTTTCACATAGCTTTCCTATGATCACATAGCAGCAAATCCCACCACAAAATCACATGAATATGATGAGGTCCATGAAATTCATATGAAAAATCATATAACATTAATGTGATCGCATAAATGTTATGTGAAATTTAGATGAATTCCATTAATTTTGATTATGGATGAAAATCATGTGCGTTTCCAATGGAAGCTACATGAAAACTATTTTCGGTGTAATAGGTTAGAGCGCTACTTCGTCGTAATCGCCCATTTGATGATGATGATGATGATGGTCCCACCTCTTACCCCTACAAAGGTTTGAGCTGGACGATTTATCTTTAAGATAATTGAATATGACATTTTAACCAGGTTGGCAAACAAAATCGAACTGGTTTCAGTTACAGATATAGATTCCCTCTAAAGTTTACAGTTGCTTCACAGCGATATAAATGTGGAAAAGCTCAGGCGTCCACCTCTTAGTTCGCCTTTTTGTCCACCTAAAATATTCATAAGTATTACAAGCAATCAAGAGTTAATGAACAATCAACAAAGCATCCTATTACACTAGTAACCCCGCAATCTGATGCTATCATAATTTTCAGCAATGTCAGGAATGCTCACGAACCCCTAACATTTGCCAGAAAACTTACTACTAACTCAAGGTATCTTTCAAATAAGCTTCAAAATTGCATTTTTTTTTTATCAAATGTTAAATTCAGTCCTCTATATCCGTAATACGCGCGCGAGGCTCAAACCTTTGTAGACTACTTTTTTTTTTAATTAATCTACTATAAAATCAAATATTAAAAATCCATCATCACCCTCGTGGCGAACAGAAATAGTTTTTGCAGTGCTACAATAATTATTAAAAAGTCGTTATGACAGCTATCCATATAAAATAATCCGTTAGAGATAACTTCGTCAAGATACATAATTTGTCAATTCATAAAAAAATCACTGGATAACTGTTCAAAATACAGTTTTAACGTGTGAAATGCAGTGTCTTTTAAATTCTGTAAGTGTTGCTAAACGTTTGATATGTCTAGGCATCGAATTGAAAACATTTATTCCTTTATAATATAATGAATTTTGTGAAGCACAAGTCAAGAAATGTGGTGTTCTTATTTCAACCGCGTTTCTAGTATTATATCTATGAAAGTCACTTCCTCTTTCAATTCGATCACACAAATATCGAGGCAGCAAACCGTTAACTACTTTAAAAATGAACACCATAGTCAAATATACAATTCTTTGCTTCACCGACAACCATTGTAAGGCGTCTAACATCAAAGTTGAGGAAGTGAATCTATTACATCTCAAAATCAAACGCATTATTTTATTCTGCAAGCGCTGTAATCTCGATATTTGTGTTGCATTGGCCAGGAATAAAATGGAAGGGCAAAAGTCAAGATGAGGAGAGATGATTGATTTGTATAGCTGTATTTTACTGGCAATAGTTAAATCGTTTTTCAGTCGACATAGAATTCCATACTTCTTGGCAATTTTCTTGATGACATTGTCAATGTGAGAGTTGAACTTAAGTGTGTCATCAATAATCACGCCAAGATATTTAATCTCCCGAACGCGATCAATAGTCTCATCATCAATTACAACAGAGACGTTCTCATTTACTCGATTCCGCGAAATTACCATAAATTTAGTTTTACTTGTATTCAATTTTAACTGCTTATACTTCAACCATCTACTTAGAGAACGCAAATCTTCATTCAAGTGTAAAACGGCATCATCTAAATCCTTAGCTGCAATGAATAACACAGTATCATCTGCAAAAAGATTAATGTCTGTTTAGATTAAATTTCTGTTCTATCAGCGTTTGGTAAGATACTTTAGTTAATAAGCTTCCGAACGAAGTCAATGAGAACGCGTGATATGAATGTTTGCACCCATTATTCCCAAAAACAAAAGAAGCGCTCCGATGGAATCAATTTTTATCTTCATCCGATAGGCCGAAGTTAATTCATTGGCGTTTCAATGCGCTAGGCCGAGTTTAGAATCCGTAGGTCAAGTTTGGCGTCAAGAAACAGTGTTAGACTTTTGACAATATATCAACGATGGGTTTCTTTTTATCAAATCTTACGGTACATACGGAAAGGTAAATAAATTTGGAAGCCATCAGTATTAATAACATTCCGTTTGGTGCTAAACTGCACTAGATTAAGAAATACTAAGTGCGGGTTGTGCTTAATAGGCTGGAAATGGGGTAGTTAACCCTATTTACGCTCATTGTTCTCAAAACAAAAGAAGCGCTCCTAGCGAATCCCCTTTTTCTACGTTTATCCGTAGGTCGAAGAAAATCTTATGGCGTTTCAATGCGTTAGGACGGCATTGAAACTCGCAGAACGAATTTTGAATCAAGAAGCAGTTTTAGATTTTAAACAATCCCTCAACAATTTGTGACTCTTTATCAAATCCAACGGTACGTATGGAAAGGTGAATAAATTTAGAAATCATCCTTGACAGAAATATTCCATTTTTTGTTTAAATTCGTTCGGAAAGGAGAGGTAAAGCGCAGGGTTGTGCTTAGTAGGACGGAAATTAGATCAAAAACCCTACCACCGACGAACCGACATGCCACTAGAGCATTTCGTTGGTCCACAATTCGATTTGTCAAATGAGCGTCTTGGGCAAGAATTTGAATGTAGCTTCTATGATCTGGCTCGTCGGTTACTTTTGTAACCGACAGTGATTAAAAGTGACGCTCGACTCGAAGAATTTGTTATAATATATATTTAAGAAAAAAAACTATATGTTTTTGTACTAGTTCTACGTCGGTTGACGAAATAAATCTAATTGGATATTCAATGTCTCCATGTTTCAGGTCCCTACAAATCAGTAATACACCGAATAAAGTGTACAACTTGTGTGATCTGCCGGCGACTCCCAGCGTAACAGCATTAATCAGCAACAAGCTTGAAACTGAAGGGTATCGATGGTTTTTGGACGTCTCGGATGAGTTGAATATGCACCTTTATCTGCGGCACCGCATCTTGCGAAGTATTCGGTTCAAATTACAACTTCAGAAAACTAAACGTTGGTATAGCAAGGAAGAGGACGTACGGATCGTTTGGATGGAATGCGTGGAGAATCGTAACGATCTAGTTCGCTCTGCTAGGCTCCTCGTAGCTCATCTTGAATTCGTACGAGCTATGGACAAAATCACAGTCGATCATCTGTGTTCACGGAATCCCACCACTGCTTATATGATGCGTTTGATCGAGCAGCTGGATTCTATCATTGAGCCGATTTTTAGCAAGGTCGACCAATTGTACCGGATAGTTCGCAACAATGGAGCCATCCTAGAACAACTTGGGTATGTTTTGATGATTTTCTTTATTAGTTATATTGATTTATAACCAATCTTTTCTACAGAAACGATGATCAACTAGTAATTCATAAGTTTTACGAATATCAACACAACGGTGTGATTCACTGGAACCGGATATCCCTGCAGTTCAATGCGATGGATCGAATAGATCATCATAGTGTGCTTTTCCATCGCAAGATGATTAATGCAGAGTGTCTTTTTCCGACTGAGCATCAATGCGGAAGGGTCGGTATTCAGGGATTGATATTTTTGGAGTGTTTTCTATGGAATGTTGAGAAAATTTCTACTGGTTAATTTATATTTAAGACAATAATTGTACAGGTTTTTTTTATGTCAACAATAGTCTTCTTCTATAGTGTTACCTATTGTTCACTCCGCAAATACAAAATATTAAATCTAGCTTCAGAACGAAAGATTATTTCGCATCATCGTCGTAAAAATAAAGCTTCACGTCATTTGAGGTGCCGTTCGAAATAGCTTCAAATGTGTATCTTTTAAATAACAATATTTTCTATCTTCTATATAATTATTTAATATATAAACGAGAAAGTTTGTCCGTAACGCTAATCTGTTTCTTTTTCTTTTGTATAGAATGCTTAAGGAAAAGTGAGAGAATGGTACTATCAGGTATTGTAACGTTGGCTCAGGTGGCACGTTCCGTCAGGGCTGATAGCGGGTCACTTTTTAATGATTTGTGCTAAAGTCCCTTTGAAAACAAATTAGCACTAAAGTCACTTTTTTCCGAAATTCCTACCTGAATTTTAATGAAAAATTCGTTTAAAAAATAAAAGTTGCTACTGTACTACTGTATGCTTAGTTCCTAGTTGTAAATTCAAAAAATGTATGACTTCCACAAAAGGGATATCAATAGCATTGAAATCAGGTCCGGTGGTGTAGTGGTAAGCATGTTAATCTCTCACCCCAGCAGGCCTGATTTTCAATCCCAGTCGGCGCCACCGGAATGTGTTCTGATTCTTTCAGTTCTCGAGGATCTTTTTGCTTCCTCTCGGCAAGAAAAAGCCACCTAATTAAATTGGAACGTATTCATATCGTTGTTTGCGTATTGACCTTGGCTGTATGCATTCAATACACAATATGAGCCTAGAGGTTCTAGCAGGAGTAAAACCCCTGCAGACCCGTTTATGGGGGCTCTCATTAATAATATGATAAAATGTATTGCCAGTAACAACCTTGTGATTGAAAACTTCGAACAAATGCTTGGATGGGTACTCAATCTAGATTCGTGCGTCACCGTCCTATAACCTCGATCGTGTACGCTTTACTAGGTACAGTTCCCCCATTGACTATGATCTCTCCATGAAACAGGCTATCCAAGGAGTTCCAGATCAACTTCGTACCTTATCTTACCAATCAGGCTAAGGCCTTGTTGTCCTCTGTTGTCCGAAAAAGTCGTCTTCACTCTACTCGATCCATGGCCACACTTCGGCAGCCTAGTAATCTGCGCAGGGTCCGCAGGTCACCTTCTACTTGGTCGATCCACCTTGCCCGCTGCGCGCCTCTTCTTCTTGTTCCTGTTGGGGTCCTCCGGAGTCCAAAGTAGGCACAATTCCTGCCAGAATGCTTTTTTGATTTTCTCTGCTGGTATCATTTTCGGCGGTCACCAGTGAGCCCAAATACACGAACTCATCGACCACCTTGATTTCGTCACCGTCAATCTGAACTCGGCGTGGGAGGCTAACATTCTCTTCCCTAGAACCTCTTCCTTTCATGTATTTTGTCTTGGATGCGTTGATGGCAAGCCCAATCCACCTAGCTTCAGCCTTCAGTCTGATGTACGTTTCCGCCATCGTCTCAAAGTTCCGTGCCATGATGTCGATGTCATCGGCGAAACCAAGAAGCTGGATGGACTTCCTGAAGTTCGTGCCTCTCGTGTCTATCCCAGCTCTTCTGATCACACCTTCTAACGCGATGTTGAATAGCAGACACGAAAGTCGGTCACCTTACCGTAACCCCCTTCGAGATGCAAAGGGATTCGAGAGTGCCCCCGATACTCGAACAATGCACATCACTCGATCCATCGTCGCCTTGACCAATCGCGTCAGTTTATCAGGAAATCCGTACTCGTGCATAATCTGCCATAGCTGATCTCGATCGATTGCGTCGTAAGCTGATTTGAAATTGATGAATGTATTCGCGGCATTTCTGCAGAACCTTCCGAATCGCACCCATGAATACCGCTCGGTATTGCCCCACGAACTTTCTTGCAAATGGTGACAGGCGACGGCATAGAATTTGGGATCCTTGTAGGCGGCGCTCATCAGTGTGATCGCGCTGTAGTTGCAGCAATCCAACTTGTCGTCCTTTTTGTAGATTGGGCATACGACATCTTGCATACACTTCGTGAGAAGGTTACCGTCCAAGTCCTTGCACGTATCGGCTTGCGACACGTAGCCTTCTCGCGAACTATTTAGCTTCTCGTAGAACTTCCGTGTGTCGTTTACGCGGTACAGGTTTTCCTTCGTCTCGCGATCTCGGTCTTCCTGCTGACACTTCTTCCTTCGGAAAACCGAGTTTTGTCTGTCCGCTTGTCTGTATCGCTCCATATTCAATTTCGTGCGGTGTTGCAGCATTCTCGCCCGTGTTGCATTCTTCTCCTCTACTAACAGTTTGCATTTGCCGTCAAACCAGTAATTTCTTCGGTCCGGGATCGCAGTACCTAGTGCCGTTGTAGCAGTACTACCTATGACGGAACGGATGTCCCTTTAGCCATCTTCAAGAGTAGCTGCGCCAAGTTGCTCTTCCGTGGGCAGTGTAACTTCCAGCTGCTGCTCGTAGTCCTGGGCAGCTTCGGCATCCCGTAAATTACGGCCGTGTGGATTTTTCAAAAATGAATCAAATTATTGAACCTTAATAATTTATATTGTATGGACAGCTCCTCATTATATAAATATTTATACTCACTCAATTCCGGGAAATGTTAATGAATTGAAAAGTAAAATGATTCTTGTTTGATGATGCTCCGCACCATCTTATATTTCCCACCCCATCTTGTTGGGGACCACAGCGGGGGATATAAACGTTTTGTAGGTACTTGATTTTTTTTTCAAATTCTTGCAAAAATCCGTTATGTTCTTGATGTTAGGATCTGTTGCTTTGACCACCTCATTGAGCGCTAACTGAAGCGTATGAACTGCGCAACGTACTATGTTGAATTGGTCATTTAACTCTAATTCCAGATCCCTAGGGATCTCATCGTCGTCGGTATCGGTAGCTTCGCACATTCAGTTTGCGTACCGTCCAGCATTGTTGCGGTGAACAGATCGCGGAGCTGCTTGGCTGCGGCAAGCATGTTGGCACCGTTGTCCGTTGTGATAGAATAAACTTGTTCGATACTAATATCACTAATATCATATCGTTGCAGTATTTCCAATAGTTTTGCCTTTAAATGTTTGGCCGTCTGACTTTCCGTAGCTTCGATCATTGCTGAAATTTAGATGGCAATCAAATTAAAATTAAACCTATATATAAACAAACAAACTAATCTTACCAAGTGTCCGTGTGACAACCAGGTTATTGACCTCATACTGGACATTGATGCCCAATATGTTCCGATGGTGACGCTGAGTGGAATCTATTTTTATCGAAATCAAACGACCTTTCATCTCTTGCTTAATGTTCAGCATTACCCTTTCAGTCATTTCACGCAGGTGCGTTTTTATGTTCCGACGGTTGACGCTTGTTCCGACTGCCTGGGAAATGGGATCAATCAGCAATCGGAGGCTTTTCCACTCAAAGCAACTGAGAGGAAGATTGTGGTTGGTGATATGTGCAGCCTTTAATATATTGTTGCAAATATATCGCTTCCACGGCTCTATCGCTATACGGATCTTTTTATTGCGGATGTTCTCAGGGTCCGTAACCAGTCCACAGGAAAATACCACGTCGTGATGCATCGTGCGAATGTTCCGGAAGATGGATCAATGATGCATAAAAATCTTCCGTTGTCCTCCTTAACGTTATCCCACGCAATTTCTGCGAATGTCTGCTTCGCGTTTGGTTTCATCGAATGTTGGCTCCATGATGGTCTATACAATTTTACGAAGAAATTCAAAAATTTGAAATTTTTACTTTTCACACGAAACGTAACCACGTTTACAAGATATTTATTTGTTTGACAGTAAAATTCTCGTGAGCTTGTGAGTTGTGTCAGTTTTGAGATTTATTAAGCATCGTACACAATGACGCGTACGAATTGATATTGCCGATGGAACAATTGGAACATAAAATAAAGTAAAAGTGGCTTTAATTTGCATGTTAAGAAATGGCATGTTTGAAGATAAACGAACATTTTTCTACATTGTATCGTAACAGTACCCGCACATTTATTTGTTACAAGGAAAATGAAAATCCAACGTTTTATTCAAAATGTTTGTATGTGCTGAGCTTAACAAATTTGAGCAATTACAGGAAAATGAGGGAGCATTGCCCAACAGAGATGATCAGTGAGTGAGTGATTTTACTACTCATTCCTTGTCATTTAATCGAACTGTCAAGGGCCACCCACATTAGATCCATTTGCGTTGCGTTGACGTAAATTTGACAGTTAGACAATAGATTTAGCTGTCACTTTGCGTCCGATCCGGATCTTATGTGCGTGGGCCTTCATGGATTGCTTTTATGAAGATGGTCTAGTGAGATAGAGATGTTTCCAAGTGATATGGTAGTTGACCGTCCTTTTTCAGATGTGACGGTTATGCGAGGATGACCGTCAAAAGTACAATAACCGTTATCATAATGCACAGCACTGCCCGTAATTGCTCAATGTTGGGTCGCGGCGTTCGACTTCGACGGGTGTTATGCATCGTCGCATGCATACTGCAATTAGGTAGTGGTCCGAATCTATGTTCGCACTGCGGTACGTGCGGACGTTGATAATGTCGAAGAAGAATTTCCCGTCGATTAGAACGTGGTTGATTTGGTTTTCTGTTTGTTGGTCAGGTGATCTCCAGGTGGCTTTGTGGATATCCTTGCGGGGTAAAATGGTACTTCGAACTACACAGTTCGAAAAAGTAGTGTAAATTTCTGTTCAATATGATGCACATAAATGGAGCGTCACATGTCATTTACGTTTACTTTATGTATCATGTAAAGTTCTGACACATTTCATGCAATGTAGCAACTATTTTATACAAAAGCCCATCTTTGTAAACAATATTGTTTACAAGTTGCTTGGTTGCATGAAATGAAACACAAGTTTACGTGAATGAATGTTTACATCACAATTTATATGTGTACCATACCCCGAGAGGCTGCAAAGTTCACGCATCGTTGGCCGTTGTCGTTCGACCTGAGCGTTCATGTCGCCGATGACGATTTTGACGTCCCGTTACGAACAGCCGTCGTACTCCTGCTCCAGTTGCGCATAGAACGCTTCTTTCTCGTCGTTGGGTCTCCCTTCGTGTGGGCAGCGAACGTTGATGATGTTTTATTTAGCTGCCAACCAATCACGCATTGGTGCATCTTACCCAGCACTAC